TTTTCTGTTTTTTTCTCTTCCCCTCATTTCCTCACTGAGTTTCTGCCATGGCAAAGTGGTACAAACCGACAGCATTAAGAAGGCTCGGGATGGAGCCCAGTTCCCTCCAACACTCCGTACCCAATGGTATTCCTGCTCTAAATCTGTATCCAACACTTAGTCAAGCATGGGTTCGTGTAAAAGCCTTATAAAATGAAAATGTGGATCAAAGACACTTTCAATGTGTTGTGTGGCATTGAAATTCTATGTGCGAGAAGCCAGTCACACCACCACCTCGAGGTCAGAACCTCCCCGAGATGTTATGCAGGGGTCCCCGAAACCCTTCTCCCCAGACCTCTGAGAGCCTTTGCCACCTCCTCAGCCTTGTGCTCTCCCGTGAGAAACGGCAAGAGTAGTCCCCCTGGAGGCCCTCTTCCTCGGCAGCACTCTGCGTCAGCCAAGTGTCTCCAGCGAGTGTTTCTGGGGGAAGGGCTTCCATCTGGAGCTTGGCAGAGAGAGGAAATTTCCTTTGAGGTTCTGCCACCCTACCCTCCAGCTCTGCATAAGGTGCAGCATGGGGAGGCCTCATCTGATTTCAGGGACGGGGCTGGTGTGCTTCATGCAGTCAGAACGGCTCTTACCCTTTCTCCTCGGCAAGTCTGGAAGGTGCTGAGAGAAAGAATGTTGTTTTTTCTGCCACCATCTCCCATCTCAGTGTGCAACAGGTCACAAGATGTGACAAGTTCATGCGCTAATTCCTTCCTTTTCAGTTAATAGAATAACACAGATGGGAACGCTTATCCTGGGATCAGACATAAACTGGAGTAGCAGCAGAAGGAAGACAGGCAGCTTGGGCCATTCTCAGGCCTTCACTAAGCAGAGATCATTTTCAGCAGCCCCACTGCTCTCAGCTGCATAGCCCCGAGAAGCTACTCTCCCAGAGGAGGACACCGGCCTCGGGCACGGGTCCTCATCTGCAACCACTCAGACCGCAAAATGCTCGCAGTGTGTTAAAGAAATAAAAGCAGCAGACAACAACTTCACTGCTTCCCAGGGCCCTTTGGGCAGCAATGCCCTGGCAATGGTTCTAAAACCACCTTGTAGACTGTCTGAAAGACGATCAATGCCACACTAAGGAAAGAGGGAGTTTGAGACAGAAATAGTAGGCCACGAGCAGTACCACGGCCACGTCTCTATCTTGGCCACCGAGCATCTTGAATATTCAAGTACAGAACCAGTGACAGAGAACCTTTGGCAATACATAGTTAGGGCATTGAAGTCTAAGAGATACCTTCAAATCCCAAGCAGCAACTCTTCCTAAAGCCTCCATTTTCTCTCCTGTGAAAGACTTTGGGACAACACTTTCCTCTTTCTTCAGCTGTTGAGGATCAAACAAGATGTCTAGAGCTATGGCTGGAACATACAAAGAGCAGCTAGAGTTCATGGATATAATTCAAACATGTCAAGCATTGTGCCCACCACTTCATATAGCATATTTCTAATTGAACTTCACTAAAGTGCTCTGGGCAAGTGCTATTTTCACCCCTTCCACCACACTGCAAATGAGGAAACTAAAGTTCAGTGACAAGATCCTACAACTTGCAAGTGGTAGTATCGGTTGGAAGCCAGCTCTATCTATGACTTCAGAGTCCAAATTCACAGCCATGCCACAGGTGCTCAGTAAAGCGCATCTGTGATGTTTCTGTCATTACCACTATCACTAACCACACTAACCAAACCATGAGGGGCCCTGCTAGACTGTTTGCACATCAGTATTTTAGCATCGGTTATGAGATGATATTAAAATAGATGATAGGGAACAATTCCAAACTTTGAAGAGGACTTTCAGAAATCAAGGAAGAAGAAAACCCCTGCTTCTGGGAATTTAAATGAGGTTAAATCCGAAATGTATCTTCATGGACATTCATCAATTACTTTCTGCTTTATCTCTTTTTATCATAATAGCCTACCCTCCCTCCTGAGAAATAACCTTTCCCCGATTCTCTATGGCTGTGAGGGGGATGACAGGTCATGCTTTCCCGCTGCACCAGACCACTAGAGCGGGTTGCCGATCATGGGCCTTGTCCATAGAGATCCTACACAGGGCGAGCCTGAGACCCAAGAGGGGCAACAAGATCATTCCAGAAGGTTTCATGTATTGATACTACACGAAATCCAGAAGAATGAAAGTGTCTGTGTCTTCTGCCATTGCAAGGCTGGCATGATGTAAGTCTGGAGCATTCTGTGGCCATTTCTGTTTCTCTCTTGTTCAAATAAATGGACAAAGATAGCAGTAGAATGGAAAGCAACCAGTATGGGCAGAAGCAAAGGATGTAGGGGGCAGGCGGTGGGGAAGAGGCCGCAGAAGTGAAAAAGGAAGGAAAGAGGAGGAAAATGGAAAGCGGAAGGACACAGTTATTTTCTCATCAGGATCCACTTGTGTCTAAGAAAAATTCTACGCCTTGGTTCCATGCTGAGTTGCCATCATTTTACACAGAATAGTGGTTTCCACAGTGTGGACTGGACATGTCAACAGTGGAGTCAGGAAGAGCTTGGTGAGAGTGGCTTCAGTAGTCCAGGAGCAATCCACATTTCAGGGCTTCTCAGAATTTCTAAGTCCCTGTCTCCAGAACCTTTGTTCTTGTCTCTACTGGGACACATGGAAACATAGCCCAAAGAAGTTCCAATTGGTTTGTTATTTCAATGAGAATGAGCTTTGAAAGCAGATAGACCTAAATTCAAATATTAGCTTTGCCAGAACATAACTCTATGATCTTGGACAAAATTATTTAAGTGCTGAGCCTCCAGTTTCTCATCTCTAAATTGGATATGGGCACTGAACAGGCATTGACAATGGAGTTCATGGCAAGTCAAATGATTTAGGGTTAAAAAAAAAGGGCACCCCTGGCATAGAGGTGGGCCCAGCCCATAAAATGCACTCTGAAAATGTTTGTTGTCTTCCATGTAGCTCAAATCACTCAATTCTACTCTTCTCCCATGAAAATATTGCCTAGTGATTAAGGCTAGGTACCGGAAGTCTTTCTGGGAATCCAAGGACCTTCTGTAATTCAGAATAATGCTGTGTCTGTGTGTGATGGAAGTTGTACATGACCATGATATGTAAAATGTCAACAAAACCTCTCACTCTCAACTTTCAGAGGAAGTTGCAAAAATTAGCAAAATATATGAAGTGTCTAATTTGTTCACTTAATAAACAATCACACTTCATACTTCATTATTACTTCTCTGGGCTTCCCTGTGCCGTGTAGTACCAGGTTCACAGCTCTCCCTGCCCCTGTTCCTGGGGTGAAGGAGGACATGGTCTGCTGGGCCTCCTCTGACCTCAGGATGTATCTAGCAGCAAGTTTAACAGGGCAGGTCCCATGACTTTACCCGTGACAGTCTCTCCTTAGCTGATTTGCTTAAAGAAGGGTGGCAGAGCATCCCTGGTGACTTAGGGGATTTATGGTGGGGGTTGTCTGTATGCTCCTCTTACTTTCACACCCTCTACAGCAGTGGGTTCCATAGGGCTTCTCTTTGTTCCTGGCTTTCCTTCTCCTCACCCCCTGCTTCCCTCCTCCCTCCTTCTCTACTTCTTTCTCCTCTCTCTCTCTCTCTCTCCCTCTCCCTTTTATCTTTGTGCCCTAGTCCTAGGCAATGGGGACAAGGCCAATGAATATGACCGAATAACATGACAACATTCTGCCTCAAAGAACTCACAGCCTCTTTAAGGACACAGACCAAGAGAAGTTTCTGATCACTGTTTCTTTAGCTTGCAGCCAGGGAGTTGGAATCAAGAGCCATTCCAGAGTGGAGAGCTGGCCTCCCAGCCTGGGAGAGGGGACCTTAAAGGGTATCTATGCCTCACATGGTACCCAGATGCCTCCCTTTGTACCCTGTGAGCCAGTTAAGAGGGAACTATCTTCCTATAAAAGCAGAGAGCCTTAATGCCTGGCAGACCCTGGATATAAATTTCAAACACGATGATTTAAGTAGAACTTATTTAAAGTGAAAGTTGTGGTCACACTGCAGATACAGCCCATCTTGGTTTTTTGCCTTACAAAAGTTTATATGGAATTCCTTTCTTCCCCATTCTTGATGCACATTGGGTATAGGTATTCTTTTGGCTGACTCAGAACATTCACAGGGGAAATCAGAACCAGAGCCTCATCTCTTATCCTGAAAACAGTTTCTCCTTTTCAAATAAACCTGCTGGTAAAATGTTTACAAGTGTGATATTTCACACATGGAGGAAAGGATCATATTAACTGCAAGTAAAAGGGGGATCTGCCACCTCATTCAAGCAACATCCCTCATACTTTTGGGATCAGGCATATGAAATCCATGGGTCCAGGGAGGAGAGAGATTGGGTATGACTGCAAGTTTCTAAGAATTATTTCAGTAAGGAAGAGTTTGAATCAACTCTCCATCTGAGTCCCAACCTTTTGTGCAAGATGATTATCCATAATTCCATTCTGAATCCAAGGGTAATTTTTTTCTCCTGACATTTAGGGAAAATAAGTTACTGTTTACTTAGCACCTACTGTGTTTCACAGGAAAAGAGAGAGAGAGAGAGAGGGAGAGAGAGAGAGAATATTCATGATTTACAGCACCCTATATGAGAGTCTACAGTTCAAATTCCCTTGGCAAATTTGCTACTGAAGTTTCATCTCTACAAAGGGATTTTCCTTACTAAGCATTTCCCAGGTCTTTTTCAGTCTCTGTTTTCTTAATTTCCTAATTTTACAAATTGTTCATGAGGGACCAGGACTGAAAGGATGAAGCCAGCAGAGTGAGGCCATGTGGGATTTGGTTGCCAGGACTCAAGAGGGTCTTGCTCTTACCAGAGCCTCAAGTTCAACAACAGTCTTAGTAACAAAACACAAATAGTTCCCTTGACACTCATTTGAAGGGGGATGGTTGGGTGCCAGAGCAAATGGCTTGTCTTTTAATAGGACTGAAAGCAAAATTCAAGGGAAGTCAATTAAATCTCCAAGTAAAGTAATTTTCGCAGGACTTACCCAGCAGAGAGGAGCAGTCATACTGAAGATCTGTCAGGGGAAACCGGAAGCCTTTCCAACTGGACTCATCAGGCCTCACAAGGGTATTTGAGATCCTAGGACTGGAGGGGATAGTAAAGTTCTATTAAATGTAAATTTTCTGTCCTAGTGAGTCTGCAAGCAACAGAAACTTCTGTCCCTATTCAATGGTGAACTGGTCCAGAAGTCAGGAGAGGGAGTGTGGCCGAGGCTGCACAGATGCTAGGAGAGAAATGGACATGGGATATTGGGAACATGCTCCCAAAGTGTCCTCCATTATGGCCTCTGTGGTATGAGGACATGGTAGAAAGTTCAATTCAAGTAGAGGTGTGATGGAGCTTGTACAATTCTGGCCAGTAACCAAGACTAAAGATGAGCTGGGAGGGGGGATCTTGAGTCTGCGCTGAGTGGGCGAGGCCTTGAGTCTTGGGAGTACAGAGGGAGGAAAAGAAGTCTTCCCCACCTGCTCCTGTGTCAACAGGGCACAGCATATGAGTGGAGGAGGGGAGAGAGGGACAAGGCCAGCAGAGGTTTCCCAAGGGAGGCAGCTAAATCTGGCGCTGTGATTCACTATGGTATGCAGAACACATCAGACTCACTATCATGTACTAATTGCCTACTGTGTGCCAGACGCTGCACCAGGGATACAATGTGTAAGACAGTCAAGACTGGGAGAGAGACAAGCTAAGCAACAGTTGCCAAATTATGTTAACGGATAACATGAAAGAGAAGTGCAGAGAATGCTAAGTGCGTGTCTACTTGGGCTGTACTGGGGGAAGGCCTCCTTCCTACTGCCCTGACACCACTCTAGTTTGGGCCATCATTTCTTACCTGGGCACTGCAGGTAACAGTTTTGCACTGGCCTCATCACAGGCACTCATTCACCTTTCCAACACACCTGCTCAAATCACAGGCCATGTTACATGCCTACCTAACACCCTTTAGTGGCAGCCCACTGCAACATAGTTATGAACACTCTTTGACACAGCCAGCATGGCTCTGCTACATCTGACCTGTCTCTCCAAATTAATCTCATTTTACTCCGTCATGCCATCTGAAATGAGGACATGCTGAGGTCAAAATGCCTGTAGGACACCCAGGTAAAAATGTACAGAAAAACATTAGTGTTTCTAGAAGGAAGTAAATTCTACCAACAACTGGTGAGCTTAGAAGAGGACTCTGAGCATCAAATGGGAACAGCATCCCAACTGATCCCTTGAATCAGCCCCAAGGGAAAATGCAGGGTGAGAGGAAGAAAGGAGTTACATATTCTGTCTGAAATACATGTTGTTGAGTTCTGTCAGGATGCATGGTAGGCAAAACTCTGTGATGGCCCCCAGGATCTCCAGTCCCTGGCTTATATATAACTAATCCAAGTTAGTAAATCAAACACTAATTTAGATGCTGCTGTGAAGGGATTTTGCAGATGTAATCAAGGTCCCGAATTAATTGGTTGGGAAACTATCCCATGAGCCTGACCTAGTCACACGAGCCCTTTAAGGAAGAGTTTCTGCCAGCACCACAGAAGAGGACGTCGGAGATTTGAAGCCCAAGGATTCAGTGTATCATTGCTATCAAGCAATGTGGGCGGCCTTTTCAGTGAGTGGCCCCTGGCTCACGGCAGGGACTTCCGAAGACAGATTTCAGTCCAACAACCACAAGGAAGTGAATTCTACCAACAACTGGTGAGCTTAGAAGAGGACTCTGAGCATCAAATAGGAACAGCAGCCCAAATGACCCCTTGATTCAGCCCATGAGACCCTGAGCTGAGAATCCAATCATGCTGCACCCAGACTTCTGACCTATAGAAACTGTGGCTAATAATTTTGTGCCATTTTAAGCTGCTACATAGGAATAGAATATTTGAGGGAAAAAGAAAAGAAATTCAGCTCTTAAAAGTCCCAGGTAGAGAGGACTTGAGTTGCCTGCCATCCTCTCCAGCATTAGCCAATGCCCCCAGTGAAGTTTTTAATCCAGGCCGCTGCCTAAAGCGTCGAGGGTATACATATCACGAATACCATTAGAAATAGGGCAGGGGTTATTTCTACCCTCATTGCAACTTGAAATTAAAAGACCAAATTCTTGAAATATTGGGATCTGAGTTATTCTTGATGCTGGAATAGGGAGAGAAGGGAGGACAGACATTGGATTACCTTTCTGAGCAGCTAGGATGGAGTAAAAGAGGAGAATGGACTGAAGGCTGGTGTTACAGGCATGGGTACTTCTTCCCATAGAGTAAGTAAATGATGAACTTAATGAGTAAATAAGTAACTTTGCAGGTCACAAATCTACAAGCTCATGAATTCAATGTGAAATATTGGCTTACGCTGAGACCCAAAGTACTTACAGAGAATGAGGAAGAGACAGAGGGACATCCACGCTATCTCTCTTGACACAGCGCACACATGGGAAGTCTACAATTCCCTATTAGAAGGGAACTGGGCTAATGTTGACATTTGACCCGTGGCATTGTTCTCCAAATATACACAGCCTGAGTCAAGAAAACTCCTTGCCAAATGAGAACTGCTGGCCCCTTGCCCAATCACCAGGCCCTGTTTGTTTTAGAAAAAATTACCACCATAAAAAAAAGAGAGAAATTATAAAACTCAGGATTCAGTGTTGAGAAATTAATTAGGCCTTTGGCCTTCTCTACTCAGCATTGGTGAAGAGTTTCCTTGTATATTTAGCTGGATCAGTGATAGGGGTTAAATGTGTGTACTCTGGAGATTAACACTTTTATTGGAGCTTTTTTCATGAGGGAAACTATGTTAGAATCAGGAGCCTTTTAGTATTTCCAAAGAACACATCAGGAGAAGGCAACTAAATTGGCTTGGTGGTCCTCAGGAAAGGCTTCCTACTGGAGGCAGCTTTGGGGCTGGGGAAGAATGGTTCAGATATCAGGCTGGGGAGAGGTAGGGCAAGCTAGTGAGAGGATGCAGAAGGTACCAAGATGGTAGCATTAATGAGGGTGTTGGATCCAATAAACTGAGAGGCAGATTGATCATGCCTGGCATAAAGAATCAAGCCAATGGCAGGAAAAGGGGATATGAATCTGGAGATGAAAATGGAAAAGCAGCTAAGTCAGAGAAGCACCTTGATGCCCAAGGTCTGAACTTTAATCTGTAAGTACTAAAGAGTTTTTACCAAGACATGGCATGATCACTCTCATTTTAAAATGCTATCTCTGAGGGTGGTGGTGTGGAGAGGGTGGCATGATATCCAATTTTCTGGCTTTGCCAATCAATGTCATGAATGGAGATAGGGAATAAAGTGGGGGATGGGGATATATTTAGTTAGCTTTGGACATGTTGAATTGCAGTTTCCTGCATTATGCACATGGAGATGTCCTGCTGCTGTTAGCCAAAACTCGGACTATTATTGGAGACTCAGACTGGACAGCTGTCACATTAAGCAATGTGGAAGTATGAGCTTGTCTCACACGTTGTCGTGCTGTTTATTACCTCTCTAAATCAGATACTCCTTTAGTTCACATGGCACTGGCCAATCACTCTTGAATTTTTGTTGATAAATTCACTCATTCATTCATTAGTTGTCCGTTGTCAAAGTTTTAATGCAATCCTACTATCATGGGCACTGTTCCAGGCATCAGACAAGATGGACCAAGTCCCTAGCCTTACAGAGAGTCCATCTTCAAGGAGGTAAAGACAATTAACAAATCACTGCATAAACACCTGTCAGAAATGTTAAGTGCTACACAGGAAAATAAAACAGGTTAAGGAAATCAAACATAGCTGAGATGATGGCAACTCTATTTTAGGTAGAGAGGCCAGGGAAATTTTCTGTGAGCTGACATTTGAGTGAAGTCCTACAGGAGTCAAGGAGTGAACCACGTCCAGGTCTAAAGGAAGAAAGAGCAAGGTCTGAGCCAGGAATGAGACATTCAAGCCAAAGAGAGGCCTGTACATGAGAGGCAGAGGAGGAGAAGATGAGAATCAGGTCAAGTCAGTGATGACATCTAATGCTCTGTTTAAATGCATTGGGAAACACTATGCATGGTAACTGTGCTAAAAGATGAAAGCTTCATTATTATTGTTGTTATTATTACTCACTTGCTCAATCACTCATTCATCCATTTCAGAAACATGCTCTGATTGCTCTCTCTACACCGGGCATTATGATAAATATTGGGCTCCCAGAGACTAGGAAGAAGTGATCCCTTCCTTCAGCAGTTTGCAGTGTTACAAGTATATATATGTACATTACACTTAGCACTCACATTTCTTTAGTGCACTGCCCACCTCTCCATTATGCCTCCGGTACAGGAAGTAGAACTATTTAAATGTCATGGATTTGGCATGCTCTTATCATCCATGCAAGACCCCTCACTTAATTTCCTTATTTTATTATTTGGTTTTATTCCCATTCCTCATCTCATGGTCCTCCCCTGAAGTTCTTACATACATACATACATACATATATATATGTGTGTGTGTGTGTGTTTGTGTGTGTATATATATATACATATATATATATATTTGTTTTTATAAATACTTTCAAAATAGATGTTTCAGTTTTGTGGCAGCTTTAGGTTTTTTTCTTCCAGAGTACACATTCCAGAGCAGCAGTAGAGAGTACAATGCATTAGATTTTGTGTAGAGGCCAAGAATCTGTATTTTAGAAAAAAAAAGTATCCCCAGGTATTGCTAAGACCTGTCCCAGTTTAGAACTTTACAAAACAGGACATGCTAAAGTCCAGTGACATGCAGAAAAACTAACCTCTGGAGGGGAAGAAGGCCCAGACTTGTACTATGTGTTGATTTTCATGGTGTAAATACTCCCACCATGACCAATTCCAAGCTAAGATTCAATAACTAGGTTGCAAAAGTCCTGATATTTAACAATCGGCTGGAGCCCATTCCAGGAGACTATTGTCAACTTCTCCATCCCACCTGAAGAAGTGCATGATGAGCAAGTACATAAAGAGAAAGTTAGATGGGTTCCACAAACTCTGATAAGCCCATGTGGAGGTAACATGACTACTTTTTTTTTTCATAGGTTAAGAAAGTTTGTTAATGGGTCTGCTGTGAACCCTACTGTTGGAGTCTCTTATGGG